TGTAAAGAAAACAGTTAAAAATACTATCAAAATGTTTGGAAAAAAAAAATAAAATTATTATAAATTGTGTTTTATTAAATAAAATAGAATAAATAGAATAAATAGAATAAATAATATAGTAAATAAATCCAATACAAAAGCATCAAAAAAATGAACTGAAGTAAATTTTAATCTTACAAAGAAAAACATGTATTGTACATCATATAAGAAACATTAAAATAAGAAAACAATTTGTAGTGTTAACATATCAACTCAGATATATCAGAAAAGTAAAACACAGTGCCAGCAGGGGTGGCTCCAGAGCCTTGGTTAGGGAAGGCCAAGTCATAATTTTACAAAATCTTATAACAAAAAGAAAACAACAATTTAGTTTATACAGAAATATGTGCTACGCAATTCATGCTTAGAATATTATAAAATAATAATAGTATTGTATCATACTCAGTAGTGTAAACAGGATTTTTCAATGGGGGGAGTTTATGGTTTAGGTCTATACATTAGGTAGGTATACACATAACATATTTATTTTAAATTTTCTTGAACTGTATTTAAAGCATTTAAAGTCAAACAATATTTTAATTACATTAAAATTTACATCAACCGTAGTTTTCTCGTTTTGGTCGCTAATTTATTTAGGTCAACATCAGGATTTATCATTATATCACTGTGTATATTCATCATTGCCAAACCATTCAACCTATTTTCAATGTAGTATTTCGTAAATATGTTTTCAATCTTTTTAATGTTGAAAAAGATCGTTCATTGTTAGCAGTTGTAACTGGAAGAGTTGTTAAAATTTGTAAAAGTTTGAAAGTAGAAGGGAAAATTGATATTTTACATTTTTTGAAGAGCGTCGATAGCATTTTTTGGTAAATCTTTAGTTGCTGTAAATTTTTGTTGTCAAATTTTAATTTCACTCACAGTTGCTAACACACTAACAATCCTTGATACATTTCAACTAGCTGCTTAATTTTTTTTTCCATATTGTATACTATTGGATGATGGTAAAATAACGTTAAAATATTAAATTATAGATCTATGAGATAAATATTGATTGTTTAATTGATTTAAAAAATGATCTACAAAAAGAATGAATAAAAATATTCAGTAATAATCCTCAAGCAAATCAACCTGGATATTTTATCTGTTTTTTTGCTTATTAGTTGTATGAGGAATAGATATTTCAATGTTTAAGGCGTCACATTTAGATTTTCCATTATTAAATAAAATTTTAAATTTACTTTTATCATTTAATCTTAGTTGTTTAATTATATTTACTACGTCATCAGCGGTTTGAATAGCTTCAACTTTAATATATTCTTTGTCTGAAGAAACTTAATGGTAAACTCAAACTCAGCACATGTCCCAGTATACAAGTTGCTAGTATAAATTTTGATTTTCTTATAGTACACAGCAATTGGTTTGCTCTTGATGAAGCATCCTTATCAAGCCAAGTACAAACTTCCGATAAACTATCAACTATTGCATCAAATAACTCAAGGAAAATAATTATTAAGTCATATCGGTCCACCCATCTTGTTGGACATAACAGTTTCAAATGGTTATGGGTTGAAGAAGAACATACACGTCCTATCGATTCGAATAAAACGTTATTTTTTTGGGGGTATTTAAAGAAAATACAAACTTATGATGAGAGAGAAAACCGTTTTCGTGCATGAGAAATATTGATCACATAGAATATCGATAGTCTAAGAATCAATATGATTTTATGTATACATATTATATTGTTACGTACCATTTTTCAAATAAGAACGTACCATAAGTGTATGCATCGTTTTCAACCACAGAGGAATAAAATTAAGATTGCAAAACACCTTAACATTTATAAAACTATACAAAAATAAAAGTAAATAAAATAAAAATATATAGGGCACTACATAATTCTACACTGGGCTCTAAAATCCATTGGAAAGGCATTGGTACAACTAATTGAAACCGATCACAATACAATTATTTAAATTATGGTGCTTGTAGATAACTAAATTGTATATTGTAGAATTAGAATCGAAGGTGATGAAAGAAAAAAAATAGCATCAAGGCAGTATCAAAAGTATGATTATCGAGTTACAAAACCCATTGGAGACAAAACTTAATGAATTCCAAAACACATATTCATGGGAAAATCGAACAGACCAAAAATTTTGAGTACAGAGTAGAAAAGTGATGGAAGTCTGTCAGACAAGGAAGAGAACAAGGAGTGATTGAGAAAATGGTGAACGTGGACAGCTGCAGCTAACCTCGTGGGTCCGGAAGATGGGATTAGTAGGGGCGAACTGACCAAGGAGATAAAGGGACCATCATATCCAAGGCCCTCGATAGTGCCATATCAATTACTCATATACAAAATGTAATAATAAATTATAACGGTAAATCACCATTGATTTACTATTAGAATGTCCGAATTGAGCGCTATTAACAGAAAATATTTATTTGTCGAAATGCGATGATAATAGGCCCAGTTGATTAGCTCCCCCCGGGCACTTCGATATCCAGTCCAACCCTGGGGATGGGTTATCAAAATGGGTGTGTTGCACTTACCAGCGGGTGGGCCGGATAATTCGAACGGAAATGTCGCTGTTGCGGCGGAACGGACAGTGACGAAGACAGGCAGTCAGCGACGACTCCAGATAGGTTACAGAGATCTCGACGATGGCACGCACACAATGTGATAAAGTCGCGGCTCACGCGATCGCTTGCGATTTTCTTATCACGGGCACCATCGTTATCACCGAACCGCGACGTGGTGACGGTGCACGTACCCGTGCGGCCCGCGACCGCGTTATCATTCCGGGTTCTTCTGTTCCCCGCCGCCGACACGGTGACACGGACCCGTTCCGATTACGGCGTCGGCCCGCGTACACCAACGCAAGCGATGCGCCTGGACGATGTTCGGCGCGGGCCGACCGCGGGTGGTGTCCTCGGCGTTTCCCACGGACATTAAAGATTTATTTGCTGTCCATAGCGTCTCCGTGCCCAGGCCCGCACGGTGTTCGGAACGTTCGGAAAACAAACTAAGTGTTCGGACTAGTGCCGCGGGGTCGGTCCAACACTTGCCCCGTTGGATTCCGTGGCATACTGTTCCCGCGAAAACGTTAGCCATTTTCGCGTTTCTAACCAAACGTAATATTACACCGACTGCGCTGTTGCGATTGCGATTCGAAAACTCGATACTGTCCGCGTCGTGTACCGTTAAGGACTCCCAAGACCATTGTCTACCGTTATGAGCCGCACGGAACGTACGAAAGCGAAATCCGTACGGACGCGTTACGCAAATATCGTTTGAATCGTCGACGTGGTAAAAACGTGCCCACGACGAGAAACGTTTCCGATCGCAACGCGATGGCCGGCAACACCGACAATCGTTTTGTCTCACCATCGAGGAAATGTCTCGGGTATTCGAATGGTTCGGTTGAAACACAATCACGCAGCGATGGTCGTCGCGGGGAGGGGGTTCAGGTCGGCTGATCCACCGATAATATTTGTTGACAGAATTTGCCTCTTGCAGGGGCGCCATTTGAGGTATCGGAAAAATAGGGCCGCCAATGTATACGCTACAGTGGCGGCCCTATTTTACCCGTACCGCAATCGGCCTGCCTTGATTTCGTGCTTGCGCCGACGTCCGATATATCGGAGTCAATAGTCAAATATGAATCAATTAACGTTTGAATTGGACTCAAAGATAACAGTGATTACATAAAAGCATATTAAATACAAAAAAAAAAAAAAAATGTTACTTGCTACTAGCTACTGTAATCTAAAACACGTACAAGTTCCATAGGGAGCATAGGGTCCTATTTTAATTTCGTAGTTTCTTTTGCTTTTTACAGATTTATTTTTCATCCCTAATAGTAAAGTAAGAAATAACTTCAACAAATCTACATTTCAATTTTCATCGTTATAACTGTGGCCTGGTAAAGAATTTGGCAGCCCTATTTTAAAACTGAAATGGCGCCACTTTTTCAAGTATGTCAACTATAGATTGAAGTTAATACTAGACCGGAGCAAATGCCCCAGTAACCGCCAATGGTTTAATTGTATAGTACAGCAAAACATCTCTATGCCGGAACCCATAAAATTATATTCTGGGATCCATAATCCCCCAAAAAATAAATGTTCATGTTTTAAATGATAATCGTGAACAAACTTAAAAAACACACATCGATCATATTGTGCGGTTTTGTTACAAGGTATACACAGTGCCGGATTTAACCATTGTGCCGCTTTAAGCACTAAACAAATTGCCGCCTTTCAATATAAATATTTTTCTAATCTAAAAAATGTTATTAAAGCGTACAATTATAGTTGTTTCCTTTATTATTTAAAATTGTAATGATGTAAAATAAAAATATACAGCTTTTATAAAGATGCATACATACATTCATATGAAAAAATTATAAAAATATAATGATAAATAACATGGTAGTAAAAACATGCTTAAATTGTTCATTTTTAAATTATATTCAAAGTTAAATACTTATTGCTCTATTATAGTACTCATCGGCTTTAATAAAATATAACATTTTATAATTAGTTGCATTTATTTTAGTTCCGGTTACATGGGATAAAAATGTAATGTTAAAAATTATTCGCCGCCCTAAGCATTAGAATATAGTTTTTACTGGAAAATACGACACTGGGTATACATCTATAATCCAGTCTTAGTCGTGATAAGTGGCCTTGTGAAATAGACCGACCATAGTTAATGCATTGGTATATTTTTTCTATGAGCCTCACTCTCAGTGCACAGCGATCTGCTCCTGCGTCACTCGGTCAGCGTCGGCCGGTGACGCAGCGAATTCGAATTCGTTTAATTTTGGCCAGGGCCACACACACCCGCCTTTTATGGACCCGGTTGTATTTACACGAGACCCGTGTATCGTATTCGATCCGTCGAAAAAAGCGTTCGGACAACATTGCTTATCACTATTGCGTTCCGATCGTCGTTATCAGCAGCGAAAAAAAAAAAAAAAAACGAAAAAATTACGTAATACCAGTTATCAGTACGTAGCGCTTATCGACGTTCCCTCTCGCCGTACGTCTCTGTCGTTTCGGTTCCAGCGTTCTTCCAGTCGTTCCGTTCCAACGTCGTCCGCCGACTAATCGCGACGGTCATTAGCGTCGGGCCTGATACAGCGACGGCCGTTGTAGTCGTTAACTGTTGAACAGATAAATAAAACCATGCAAAACGTATTCAACACCGTGAAAGGTACTGCACTAGGCTTCGCTGGATTTTTGACACCGGTCTTAAAGGTATTTTTCACGTGTGTGTTTCGACAGAGGTTTACCTTTCCGATTTGAAACGTTTAAATCGTCACCGTTGGTTAAGTCGAACTGGTACATACTGTGTTTGTTTAAAGTAATCGAATTGCAAACAAATGCCAAACTTAAATCTTATTAGAATTTCAGTGCAAAAAGCATTTTTATGTTCTAGGATATTTCAACTTTAAAAAGGGTGGGGCAATTGATTAAATTTGCCGACTTCATAATATTTAAATATTTAATATTTATGGACAATAGACCAAGGGTGTATCTGGACTTACTTTTAGGGGAGCGACTCAAATTTTTGCTTTAATTTAGGCTCAACATTTACAAATAAAATTTTTGGTAATATTTAAATGAAGTGAATCCTCAATATTTGTGTTTTTTTTTTAATCTTATGCTGGATCCTTTTAGAATCGACTTTTGTGTAGTTATTTTTAACAACTGACTGTATTTTGAAAGTTACGTTTGTATTTTATTTGATTTTTCACTAAATATGGACCTGACATAAAGCCCAATTCAGTATTCACAGCCACGCGTAATTTGATTTTGTTATAAAATGATCCACATTAAAAAAAAAATTTGAATTGTGTATCTCAGATATAATCAATTCCTTAAATATGAATTGAGGAGGGATCGCCCTTTCTCCCCCTAAAATAAGCCCATGCGATAGACTATCAATAAAATATTTTTTCGGAACAAAAGATGTAAAGGTTAGTAATGAATAATAATGTCATGATGATAAACAAAGAACATGAAACGGTTCAATTCACCTAATTAAATAATAACATTAAAGATATTAAAACATTAATTTATTTACTTATCCTATAGGATCTAAGTTACCTATCAATATGTTTAATGAAATAATAATATAAATCTAATTAAATAAATACTTATAATTTTATTATTTTATAAATACTTATATACTTAATAAACTTAATAACTTAATATAATTAATAATACTTTACAGAATTTATTTATAAAAACATAAAATTGTATCTCAAATATAATGTACCGTAGTTAGGGGTGAATAGGAACGATTTAAACAGTTTTTTTTATAGATTATGAGCTCAATTTATATGGTATCAATATCACAAAAACTGTTTTATAAATATCACATATTTATAAATATATAATATACCAAAAATAAAGTTTATAAGGTTAGCATAATAACAATTGTCATAAAATGGAGAGGAGCCAGTGTTTTCCAACTTTTAATAAACCATGAACGTGTATTTGAAAGAGAATATTATCTGATTTCTGAGTACAAAATAGTAAATAAAAATTTACTATTAACCGATTTCAGCCTTTGGTCATCGGACCAAGAATTGTTGACTTTTTAAAATTTCTTAGAATTGGGCATTTGTCAAAGTCTGCCCCCCCCTAAATGACGCCCCTGCCTAGGACAATGCTTTCTGATTACAAAATGTCAAAATTCAATATACTGAGAGCTTAGAAAAATTATATCTATGGCATAAAAATGTAGGATATTTTATCGTATTTACTGTAAATAAATCATATTTGACAAATTATTTGTAAAATAATATGGAAAAACATTTTTTTTTATATAAAAACTTGACTTGTTATGTTTGTATTACAACCTACAGTGGAATTTCTACAATTATACTAGTATAATATTTATTTATTAAATAAAGTTTCATATGTTTTATATTTATTTTAAAAACATGATAATTGATTTATTTAAAATATGTATCCGGTTTGTTACATTATTTTAATATTCATATTAATTTGCTTTTAAAATTGACCAAGTTAATTAATAATGTTATTTTAATATTTTAATAGTTCAACCAAGTTTTTTAATACAGATTATTTTTAAGATAATTTTTGGTCATAATGTATATTTAGATATTTTTTTGGCAAATTTATAATCTAATAAGATTTAATTGGGTGTCTTATAAGTTGTTTACTTTAAAATTGGAAATATTTATATAAATAAAGTCAAATTTTGTATTGTAGACATTTAGTTTTAATAGAATAAAGTATTGTTTATTTTTAGGAATCAAAATTTAGAGAGACAGGTGTTGTAACACCACAAGAGTTTGTCATTGCAGGTGACCATTTGGTGCATACATGTCCAACATGGGAATGGGCTTGTGGCGATGATAACAAGACTAAATCTTATTTGCCAAAAAATAAACAGTTTTTGATTACAAAAAATGTACCATGTGTCCGGCGGTGTAAACAAGTAAGTAAAATAATATAAATGAATTCATCAATGAATTATATTGTATATAAGTACCTACTGTTTGTAATTTTAATTAATACATTTTTTTTTTTAGTTAGAGGACTGTGAAATTCAAGAAAATATTGTTGAGTCTGAAGAAGGGAATGATGGCTGGGTTGAAACTCATCATTTTGATTCGTTATTATCACCTTTAAGTGAACAAATATCAGACTTATCATTTTCAGTAAGTAAAGCTCATTTTTTTCAACTAAAATGTGAAAGTAAAAATAAAATTTTTCAATTAAAATTATAATTTTATCTATTTTACTTCATTTAGATATTTATTTTAGTTTATAATAATGTTTTTTCATGCATTTTATGAATTATTTTAGTGACCAATTGTATATTTTTTTAAAATAAATGTTAATAATTTTATACAAAACTTATGGTATTAATTTAATACTTATTTTAAATGAAAATATATAATAAAAATTTGATTATTTAATTAAATGAAACTATATAATTATTTATAGATATTTATGAGTAGTTAATAATACATTTTTGTTATGAATAAAATAGTATTGTACAAAATTGCATTACATTTTAAGTATAGTTCAATATTATTATTCACATTTTAAATTGTAAGTAATAACATTTTAAAATAATACATAAATGTAAATAATGAGTTTTGTTTGAATATAAAGTAAAGTTGTCATATATTTAAATATAATATTTACAAGTAAAATCATTAAGAATTTTATCAACTTTGTAATCTACAAATTATGATGAATTTTTAAAACTTATTAAGTAAGTTCTCTAGATGATATGCTCAAGGAACTATTTCAGTATAGACTTAGATATTTGTTGTTGTTTAATTACTATGTGAATAGCATAGGTAATTATGTAAAATATTAATACTACATTTTTTTTTAGGAAAATTCCAGCAATTTAAATATTGGAAATAAAAACGAGGATAATCAAGTTTCCAGTAATGTAAATGTAGATATTAATAGTTATTGTGCAGAAGATAATGATGATAATGAAGATGAAGGTGAAGCTGTAGATATGGATGCATTTGTAGAAAGTGGCTTACTTGAAGATGATTCGGTAATTTTTTATTCAATTCAAATTTTTAATTTAATTCCTCATAATTATTATAACTTTATAATATGTATTAATTAATGTTTAAAATACTTAACTATTCATTTATAAAATGTTTATTAATGAGCATCATTATATAAATATTATAAGTTATATAAATTAACTCTCTTTATAATTGTTTACTTCAATTATTATTTTATAAAGTAACATATTTAAAGTTTTACTATATGTCTATAGTATTACGGATACAGATAAATATCTTTATCTAATCTGTAATAGTATATTTATCTAATATTGACAAACAGTATTTTGTAATAATGTTGTTTTAAGGTGACTGTTTATCCAGAAAAAGTAAAAGATAAAAAATTACCTAGTACATCTGATGATGAAATATTAAAAACCAGAACATATGATTTACATATTACTTATGATAAATTCTACCAAACTCCAAGATTGTGGCTTTATGGTTATAATGAAGTAAGTGTTGGAAATGTATTTATTCTACCTATTTAATTGTATTCAGACAAATATTAAATTGAATTTTTAAACATTTCGTCATTCATTTCCAACCAATTACCAATTTATTCATAGTATATTAAAGTTGAAATTAAAAAAATTAGTTAATAAATAATAGTTGTTTTTATTTATATTAGAATCAAATACCATTAAATGTTGAAGAAATGTATGAAGATATAAGTCAAGATTATGCTAAGAAAACGGTTACCATGGAATCTCATCCTCATGTCCCTGGTCCTTCGATGGCTTCTATACATCCTTGCAAGTATGTATAGTTTTAATAACAACAATATGTGTTAAGTTTTATTTTATAACAATTATTAAAATAAATATAATACTTTAATTTAAACTAAAAGCGAGCTTCAATTATTAGTTGAAAAAAAATTAAAAAATTTTTTATATTCATCATTAGTTATTACTTTAAATCTTACATATTGCAGTATTAAGCAACATCAACAATATAACATTAAGATCACGAAATGTGCAAGACACATGGACATTTTTCTGTATATTAATTTTGCAATAGAAAACAATATAAGCATTTTAAAATATAAGAAAACAATTGATACAAAAAAATAGTATGTAAACGATAATTATGTTAAATTTGGTCAAACAAATTGAAAATAGAGAGAGAATAGAAAAATTAATAGTCTTCATGATGATCGTGTACTTCTTCTGCTGCAGAAAAAAATATGTGTTTTTTATTTGTTACCTACTTATAATCAAATTATATTTTATGTTAGTCTTTCCATGGATTTATGTGGGACAGACCTGATTGATTAATTATTTTTATTTAGCTTTTATTAAAAATATTGTTTTTTCTTGTGAAATTTATAAATGTTTAACTTTTATTTGTTGCAAAGAGTAATCTTTAATACTGAATTTGCCGATCGGGGAATTAGTCTATCAACGAAATACCTGTTTTTTACATCAAGCTCAATGCGTGGCGTATAAGAAAATATAAAATTATAAATTATTAATTGGTTAATACACATAAATTAATATATAAATAAATAAATAATGTGTATAAACTATTCATTTATTTATATATTATTATTTTATATTTATAATTTGTTTTATATTGATAATATTGACATTATTTCAGTTTATCTTATATTTTTATAACACATTTTATAGTTGAAAAAATAATTTTTTTTAAATTTTGTATAACATATATAGAAATTACTTATATTTCCTAATCTCCATTAAATACTGTAATAATGCATAACAAATTAATATTTTTAAATTATTAGACTTGTTTTATGCATTGTATTGATAACTCATATTATTATTAATAATTAAATATAACGTGTTAAAATTAATAATTTTAGTTTCAATTATGATGGCTAAATTATCAGCTACCTAAACATTATTTTCGATCGGATGACAAATTATACAGAATATTTCTCAAATGTAAATCTAAAAATAACAATAAAATTATATAACATTTTATACGTTCATAAAATTATCAGTTTGTAAATAACTATCATACTAGTTAGAGTATTTAATAATAATACTCATTTAATAATACTGATAAAATAAAGTTGTATTAAGCTTTAACAGTATGAATCTTACTCCCTAAAAACAAAGAAAATCAATAATTATATTCAGTACATAAATATATTACATTATTATTAAACTTAATAATCTAAATGGGTACAATGTTAAAATTTACTATTCAAATATTTTGTTGATCATATTAGTGATAGTTATATGATTATTGGTGATTTTATTCATTTGAATTATATATTATTGTTTTTGATCCATTAAGTTAATAATTTTATGTTTTATTACATTTATAGGCATGCCGATATTATGAAAAAGCTTATACATATGGTGACAGATGAAGGCAGAAATTTAGAAGTTCACATGTATTTAATTATATTTTTGAAATTTGTACAATCAGTCATACCAACTATAGAATATGATTATACTCAAAATATTAACTTATAGTTTTAATTAAGTTATTAAAATATTGTTGTATGAAAATATTATGCTATAATTTGTTTTAAACCCATAGTATTTTGTAAATCAATTAAGTTCATTTAGTATACTCCATAAGATTTGTCAACCTTATTATATTTTCAAATAGATTAATAACATATAATATTATTTTATTCATGAAACATAATTGTATAAATAAAAATTTTTTTTTTAATTTTAAAATTATAATAATATAGTGTTATTACAAATTTAATCAAAAAAATTGTTATAAACAAATTAATTGTTTTAATACAAAATATTTCAATATTATTTGTACATATTTTCTTGAAGATCATTATTAAAATTGAAAATTGCCTAAAAAATTATTTAATGTTTTACAATCTATTTTAAGATTAAATTATTGACTTATGTTCTAAACAAATGTAAACTATTAAGGTTTTATTATGCTAAGGATTATTCTTCTATTTTTTTTCATCTTATTTTGAATTTCATATTTTTAATATTTATAGATATTCAAATATATAATTGCCATTCGTTTTAAATTCTATTTTCTATCTAAGTATCTTTTTAATATTATTGATGTACATCTCTTTGAAATGCATACAATTTTGTGGACTTAAGATTTAAATTAAAAAATATGTTGAGTTATTTTTTTATTTATGTAAGTATTTTGTTATAAAATAAAAAAAATGTAATTATATTTGAATGATCAATGTACATTGGTAATATTTCTAATTCTTCTAAAGAATTAAATATTTGATAAATTTTTAATTTTTTAAATAGTTGTATAAGAATGATTAAACCATTAAACATTTTTTTTTTAAACATAGAATTTATAATCAGGAAATGTTAGAGTTCTGATTGTTATTATTTTTATTAACTTGATATTTAATTATTGGTACAATATTGCTGCCCTTAAAAATAGTACCTAATTTCTACAACATTTTTAGTACTAATTATTTTATAATATTTATATAATTGATGTTGTATTAAATACTTGCATGTACCATGATTTTATATTCTTCTAAATGATAACATTGTACAAGAATTTAATATTTATTGCAATAAATGGGACAATTTTTACATCATAATATATTATATTATTATTGTATACATATATTATACTTATTATAGGTACACATAAATATAGTAGTATTACATAAACGGTAATATCTGTAAATAAAGGTAGTTATACAATAGAGATTATTCAGATTATACTGCATCTTTCAGATAAACTTGTGTTTGGATTAACAAATCAATTGTATTTATATCATGTTATTATAACTATTTAGATTACAATAAGTATAGATTTTGAAAATGTACCTAATACACATAAATACTTTCATAATGATATACGATTAATTTCATATTTCAATTTTTTAAGACAATTCATAAATAAAAATGTTGAGAAGTGTTTGTTTGTGTGTGATGGTATTTTCTCTCTAAAGAAAGGAAAATGATATGTTATTTAATGCATATATAAGTATGTTTTTTTTGACACGTCAGTAGTTTTTTCTTATTTATTTTGCTATGGATGTAGTGGCATAACAAAAGTTGATTGAAGTTAGTTGTTTAAAGAGAGTACATGTGTTGACAATGTATTCCAGTCACTTATCAGTAAAATAGTTTATTGTTTAAAATAATGATTTAATAATCAGTAATCACCTTTTGTTTTGTTATTTCACTATCAACATTTATTGGTTTTAAAAAAATTATAATTTGTTTTTCTTTAATAAAACTTTTATATGACATGATTGTATCAAAAATTTGATTAAATAACTTTTTAATTTGAAAATCGGACAATGGTGATAGGAAGTTACGATTTGTACCTACTTTGACACATATTTTATTATTTTCGCTAAATATATAGAAAAACCGTAATAACTTGAAAATAATACCAAATAATTTAAATCATAATTTCGTTCAGGTTTTAGCAAGTTTAAGCTATTCGTTTCGATAATAATTACCTGTAAGTATTATTTATTTTTTAAATTCTTATTAATTAATTTCAATGACTACTTTACATAAAAAAAAAAAAAACTATCAAGCACTTACAGCACAACAAAATATGTATGTATTTATGCATGAATGAGTATTTGTGTAATTATATATATATATTTCAGATACTTAAATCGACACAGATCTGTTTGAATTAAATGTTGTACAATGTCAATCTCGATTATTGTCATATTATATAGTTTCTATTAGGTTATTAGAAATGCATTTTGTAATAGATATAGTGTTACACGATATAATTTAAATATATTAGTCTTAAAATAGAATAGCGCGTGTACAAGAAACACGATGCAAAAAAAAAAAAAAAATTATTAATAAACGAATACATGATGATCAATAGCGTAAATCGAACCGCAAACAAGTACCCGTTAAACATATGAATGTACAAAAAAAAAATAATAATAATAATAAAATAAATATATATATGTATATAGGTAATAATAAAATAAAATAAGAAAACCTTTCTAAACGAAAATTTATAATCCGTACATATACTAAGTGATACGATACACAATGACGGCCGACAATAATTGTCGGTATTATTGTTAGATTGTTAGTATTGATTGCTCACGTTGGGCGAGTATTCGGCTGTTGTCCAACATTGACCGTACGGCGGCTGATAACCGTAATATGTGGGTGGCGGCAGGTACTGAGTGCACGGCACGGTGTAAAGCTTCGTCTCGTATTCCGGTCCAAACTCCAAGATAGCTTGCAAATGTCTTATGTACCGTATAGCCATCCTGCAGCGCACACATCAAATCGATCAAGAACAACTTACTGGTATAACGGTCAACGACAAGATGGAAATTATCATCCAAAATCCTTCTTTTTTTGTGCAGTGCTCGACTTGGAAAATAAACAGTAGAAGTACTCTGATGACACATACATTTTGCGTCCCTATCTAAATAAAAACTGAACATAACCGTGTTCACCCCAGGGAAGTTCTGGAAGGGGGAGGCAGTTTCCCTTCAAGACCTTCTTTTCTTAAAAATTTTTGTTTTTCATTATTTGTACATCATATTAGGAAAATACACAAATGTGAATATGTAAATATATGAATAAATTTCGCCTTCCCCTATAAAAGGTCTAAAGATGCCACTGGTTCATCCCCATTTGACACCCTAAACATGTTACCACAAACAAACGAATATTCCATAACTTATTAAGTATATTCACTTTCAAACTTTGAACCATAATCTCAATATATAAATATAGTATGTGCAGGGGTGTGGTGAACATTTATAAACCATGTGCACAACATATATTTCAGTACCTACCCACCCACTTCTTTCTCATAAACACCACGCTTGAAATTTTTTCAAAAACATAAATTGAAGAAAACTAAAAATTATTATAGATTGAAGTTATTTCCGAAATTCTAATTATAACAAAAAAAAAAAAAAAAAAATAATAATAATAAAATAAACTACAGGCGTTCTATGTAATGGCAATATAGGTACGCAATTGTGTATGCCAACAAACATTGTCGATGTTGATGTTAGATTACTATCGTTTATTATGTTTCGTTGTAACAAAAACTAATACTTACTTAGGTATACCTACAGATATATATTATAATTTTGTAAAAACTTAACTTAAATAAAGTACCGTCCCATGCACTTTTTTTTTTAAAAACAGTTGAGGTACGATAGAATATCTGACAATTTAGTTGGAGTTTTCAGTCCCCTCACATCCCTCCACAAGTCGAGCACAGCTTATGTGTTTGTTTAAGCCAGTACTTCTTAAACTTTTTCGACTCATGGCGCCCTTTTTGATCTAAAGTTTTTTCAGGGTGTCCTTCTCTAAGTCATAGCATGACTAATCATAAGGAAAATGTTATACCTGATACTATTTCATGACGGCATGACGTCCCTGTACAGACATCGCGGTGCACACTTTGGGAGCCGATGGTTTAAAATGTAATGTGATATTGGGCAAAAACAAATGCGACCTATTGAGGTCCATTATATTTAAAAAGAAAAAAATGTGAGGGGAGAAAAAAAACCAATGACTGTTTTAGATAAAAAATGTTTTAACACTTAAATTTAAAAAAAATTTACTCAACTAAAACTATTTAGCATTTAATGTCTTTTGGTTTTAAGATGATAAAAAACAACTTATTATCAATATCAAGTGATTAATTGTGAGAGTGAAACAGTTATGATTATTAAAAATAAACTACTTATTTTATATAAATTATATAATATATTATTATTATTATTATACATTATATAAACTTATTTTACGACTTTAGTTGATAATAATTGTTTTGTTTTTAAATAGGTATTCTTAAATTAATAAAATAGTTATATTTCCCTAGAACAATGTAATACGTGGGATGAAAAAGTGTCATAATATAATGTGTTTTTCATGATACAATCAGTAATGAAATATTGTAGTGAATGTACACATATTATGAATTACATTGTTATTATGTAGGTAAATTATATAATTTTATTGCAAATTTAATTGTCAGGACCAATAATGCTTTATTTTCATAAAAATATTTGGTTTTCAGAGTAAAAAATTTCAAATGAACGCATACAATTTTTATAGATGATTGGATAAAAACATTTTTTAAATTCTAATAAGTTATTGATGCTTACAAAGAATTGCAGTTTGAGTTAGTGCGATGGATAATTAATTGTATTTAATGTATATTTTGACTTACATATTTTTTATATTATTTTTTAATTTTGAAAAAAAGATTTAAAACTTTTATAACCCAAATTATTGTATTATTGAAATATAACAAACATTATTTATTTATCTTGTAAGATAATTCAAATAATGTAAATGTAATAAAAATTTAAATGTATATAATAATAATATAAATGTAAATAAATGGATTTTTGTCTGTTTGTCCTTTATGCATTCCTAAACGACTGGACTGATTGTGACGAAATTTGGTACACAGATATTTTAGACATATGGGTAGAAGATAGGCTAAGTTAAAAAGTGATAGGTTCAACTCCGGGTGGTGCTCAGCCTTTTTTGAGATTTACGATTGAAATCGTTGTTTATAGATGGTTGCTATTAGTTTCAATAATGATAATAATTCGTGTGAAAGAAATTATTATTCCTGAATTAGTTATTATTATTTTTTATTATTTGTTTCCACGTGCGTTTCGTTTTATTTTCGTTTCCGATGCGACTCACATTTGCAATGATCATCAACAAAGCACAAGGATAATCGCTATAAATATGTGAACTGAATTTGGAAAATCCATGTTTCTCACATGGACAGCTGTATGTGGCATGCTTACGTGTCGGAAAACTTTCTGATTTATTTGTGTACGCACTAGAAGGAAGAACCAAAAATATTGTGTATTCAAATGCACTCCAGTAAATACAATTCAATTGAATACTTGAATTGTCAGACTCTTCTCGATAAAACGAATAAAATTACATAATGATAAACTAAATTTGAAATCGTTGTAAGATTATTACGCAGTATAATTTAAGAGGACGCTTCACATGTATAAATTCGTCCGTAAAAACCGTTTCACGCGGGATAGAACCACTCAGACTGTAATAATTTTTAAGACTCCAAATTTATATACAATATAGCTAAAAACATTATCTGTAAAATATCGTTTTTATTTTTTTGATATCACTTATACGAAAAAAGTTCTTATTGTTTCAAAATCCATTATTTTTGTGTTTTTTAAATTTGGAAAACTTTTTTTGTAGTTCCGATATCGCAAAAATGAAAACGATATTTTACAGCTAATGTTCCCCTTTTTATGTGGTGAAAATTCCGTTTCTTAGTTATGACTGTAGCCTTCTTGGTTCTTTCCCGCGCGAAACAGTTTTTACGTTAAGAATTAAACTTTATTAAATATTTTTGGTTGTAATGTGCTGCTGCCTAAGATCAAGTGCACAACGAATACGATTTCTCCCACCACCATAAACTGAAATTATATTTGCCCGTATCTGTGCCGCACGCTGTGATTATCTATATTCAGCACGCCCGTAATAATTTCCAGGAATATTTTCGATATGAAATAATTTAATTTTAGTGACGACTTTCTATATAATATAGTATCTATTATTATATAATAAAAACAATGAAATAGAAATTGATAATATTATTATGGTGTTTCTTATACTTACAATGCGCGTCCCATATAAGCTAGTCTAAATAACTTATAGACTATAGCTAGACCTAAACGTGGGATGTCTTGTGAACAGTGATATTTATATTAGATATATTTGTGAATTTATTAGTACCTATATATTGGTTATTTAATTGTTGTTTTAAATAAATTGTGACCCATTATCTATCGATATGTATAAAAAATATACTGCTAAAATAATCACAGGTAACGAATTTAACACACAGTTTGAAACGTATAAGAGGTAGGATTTTTAACGAGCTACAAAGTGCACGGGTTCAACTATTCATATATCTGCAGTGAAGTTACTGTCCGGTGATGTACAAAAATATTTACACGACTATTAAGTTTTTAAATAAAACAAAATAGATTTAGATGTCAATTTAAAATCGACTTTTTTTTCACAAGTAAGTACAGTTATGTTCAACATATTCGTAAGTTGTAAGAATATTAATAATTTATTTTCGAAGTGCATATTTATTGAACAAATTTAATAATCGTTCTATAAGTAATCATAGATAATTTTTAAACTTTTTATTCAATAAACTCTGAATATTTTCCAAAAAAAAAAAAAAAATTTCGTGAAAAAATGAATTTGATTATTATCATTTAAAAAAAATGTCACATACCTACATATTATTAAATTAAATTTTTATAATTTTATCCAAAATTAATTTTCTGAGTAAGTGTTAAAAAAAGTAATAGAATAATTGTACTGACCTCAATGACTCGATTTTCGAGAGTTTTTTACCGGGTGGTTTACTCTTAGGCAAGCGATTTCTCAACAAGTCGAAGGCCTTGTTCATATCTCGCATTCGCGTTCGTTCTCTATCGCATGCGGACTTTTTATAATCTGCGGGCAGCAAACCCAAAAAATACATTTTATATTAAATAATTTTTTTTCGTAATAATCCAAAATTGGATAATAAGAACGTAAAACGTGCGTAACCGAAGTTTCTCCGACCACCGCGCGGGGCCGAACAAAGAGCTTTGGGTCTGAACCACTGCGAGCGGCAGTGGATTTTTTAAACTATAGTCAACTAGGCGACATCACTTGGAGCGAACGTGAAATTACTGCCGTCACCAAGGCCGTTTTAGGCTATGCAGGGGCCCATGAGCACCTGGAGCTTAGGGGTCTTTTTAGTAAACCAAAAACAGGTGAGTAAAAACATCAAAAGCTTATTTAGTACGATGACTTTTGTGTAGCCGGAAGATATGAGTTATTATATGAATATCATATATTATATGATATGTATGATATCATTTTAAAGAAAAATCTTTTTAAATAAAGGGGTGAAAAATAAAATTTACCTAATGCAATTGCACACAATTAAGCGTTCATTATTTATTTGACATTAAAATTTTAACATTGCTTTTTTCCTTCAATCAAGAATTTTTTTTTTTTTTTTAGGCGGTCGTATTAATACGTTGCAGATTAAAATTCTAAGTTGTAATTCCTATTACCCGGGGCCCTGGGCACATGCCTCAAGTGCCCGTAGGGTAAGGATGGGAGCGGCCGTCGCACTGCTACTGCACGGACCCATGATATCGATAAAACAACGATCGTCCGTCGGCCCAGCGAAAACACCATTCAAGAAACGTACCGGCAAGCGGCGGCGGTGCACCTACCTCTCTCGGACTCGTACGACCGCACCCTGGAGCACGGCTTGGTCTCGGACTGCGCGTAACAGTTGGCGGTGTTGCCGACCGCGTACTGCTGGTGCTCTTCCGCGTACACCGGTGGCAGCAGCACGTTGGGCCCGCCGATCATACCGGCCATCGGCTGCGGCGGTTGCGGCGGCGGCGGCGGCGAGAGTTGCGACGGCGGCGGTGGCGGCGGCTGGTGCTGCGCGTGGTGCTGGTACTCGTAACCGATCGGCGGCAGCACGTTGCTCAGCGTGCAAATGGTCGAAGAGTCCGACGACTCGTTTTGGTCGTAGTGTGCGGCCACGGCGTCCGCGTGCGACTTGTCCACGTACACTATGCGCGTGACGTTCTCCTGCAATCATCGGGGAATACGGTTAAACGGTACACGGTCTCGAGGGACCGCCCGGGAAAGGTTAATCGGCCGCCTGGGTCGAAATCCTGACGAGGGCGATGGTTGTACGTGCGGTCGTGAATCTACTACCGTAATTCGAATATCGTATGGTATTCGAACCGTGTGCAAGTGTTACGTACAAAAAACGCAATCGAACGCTTTGCGCGCCATTTGCGTTTTCAGTCGTGTAAAATCATTTCGGGTTCAACTCGCATTACACTAAACAAAGTACTGGGACATTCGGTACGGGTTTCGTGTCCGAAAGTTTGATCGCAAAACAAGAGCAAAAATGTACCACTGTAAAATTAATATTTTCCGCTATTCTTCCGATCGCACATTAGAAATATTAGATTCGACAATAAGTATAATTTAATGTACTATGGGGTGTCAAGGGGCCTCCATACCACTGAGTTTTAAGGAACATTTTTTAGACAACTTTTTACACATTCGCTAATCGGCTTTGTCGTTGTTATAGTCGTAAGGTAGTTGTAGTAACTAGCGCAATGAGTATTTCACTGATCACACACACCATCCAACGAACCCGTAACTAGACGTCACGTCCTTTTATAATTGATTCGTTTATCGTTTGCGATAATAATAATAAATAATAACAATATGTAATAATTTGAATATGATATCAATCATCTTTTTGTTAACACACCTTCCCTTTTAGCTATACACAAATTATTGGTACCCACAAGAAACAAAATTAATAATAGTGTAATAAAAGTAATATTTAATCGAGTTAAAATTAGTAAATAATAGTAAAATTATAACAATACATAAGAAGATATTAGGTACTACAATATATATAACTTGAGTGCGTGCATAAGTTTTCATTAAATTCTTAATGTAATTTAAATAAATAAATATATTCTCATAAGTTTACTATTTTTTAAACATTGTAATTATAATAATAAACGACATCACTGGCTCATGGCATAGTAAGTGAAGCCTGACGAGTTTCCAACGCATAGTCCTTATATCCTGTCAGTTTAATTTTGAATTATTGTTTTAATTTTGAAGAAAAAAACTGTTTTCATTTATGTGTTAAATTAATTTTTTTGATTAACTACTGATAACTAAATGTTAAGAAATAATAACAGAAAAACCACGATAAGTGAACCGTATTGGGTGATTCTTCTGCTTGAAAAATGTTCAAACTTTGTAGAAAATCTAAAGCAGTTCACCATCAAATTACCAATATTGGTATTCTTATTTCAAATTATGATTTGATAAAAGTATGATAAAAGTTCTGTTTCCTAATCGTTGAGGTAACTAGGAGTTAATTTTGCATTGTTTTAGTTACCTATTCAATTCATTTTTTTTTTGGCTTTTTTAATTCTGATAGTATATTTTGTTGAACATTTTATAAAAATATAATTTAAGACATGTGGATATCTATGACTTATGTGATTTTTATCAAATAATTTAGTATCTGGTGTTATCGAAGAAATATAAGAACATATGGTTTTCTCGATAATATTTAATTAGTTTACGTTGTCTCTAAAATTACATTTTTATAGCATAAATACGCGAGTGGAATTTAAGCAGACACACGTACACATTTGGTTACACAAATTATTATTCCATATCATGTTTTAGTTAAGCGGATTAATTCAGTGTTACTTTTTTTTTATACTTTATTCGAGTAGGGTTCATTTTGATTGGTGATTTATATTATTAATTTAAGTACTTATATATATTATTTATTTTTTAAGATAATTTTACTAGGATTCTGATTGAACAAATTACGACTTAAAATTTAAAAACAAAATTTTAGTATTATTACAATGGAGTAAATAGTAAAAAATAACGAATAAAATATTTTTTAAAATTAAAATAGTAATATTCGAATAGAATGAATTGTATATACAAATAAAAAAAAATAATAAGACCATTAGATTTTATGTTGTTTTGTTGATTATTTTAATTTAAATAAAATCTATTACTCAATTAGCTGTAGCTAATATTATAAAATAATCATTTAATAATTTTATATTATATTTACCTATGAAAAAATTTTATTTGCCCCGTAATATAATTATATAATGTTTTTTTTATATACATATTATACAGAGTGATTTTTTTTTTTTTAATTTAAACTATTATTTTTGCAGAATTACTTACCAGTAGAATACTTGAAGCTATTGTACTTAAAATAATATATAAATTAAATATTATAATATATTATGTACATTTTAAATTTAATTAATTTAAATGAATATTTATAATTCAAATTCCATGCGAGTAAAATTTTAAGTAGAATATTTTGTTGAAAATGCCAATGTAAACAAATCTGATGTCGAATTAATTTATTATTTTTTAAATAATACTTACAATATAGATAAATAGTTAAGTGGTGTGGATTTATTGATGTATACTTCACAAAATTGTGGTGCACTATTTTGGTATTATGAGGTCTAAATTCGTATTAACTACAGGTCAGGTTATTTAAGCACCTGGGCAGACTGTCCAGGGAGGTAAAAAGACAACCGCCTCCCGGTTCTCGATGTCATATTTAATAAAAATAATATATACTCGTATACAAAATGTTATGTTTGTTTTATGTTTTTATTTGTATAAAACATTATTGAACAAAAAGTACATAAATATGTATTCAGCACTATTAGCTAAAAATATTTATTAGTTGAAATCTAATAATAGGTCTAGTTAATTAACCCCCTCGGCCCCTTAATACCTATTCCGCGCCTGCTAAGTATAAAGAAATTTTCAGTTATTTTGGTTTAGAATATGAAATTAAAAATCCTAAAAAAATGTTAGAACTGTGATGGTAGCAAATAATGAAATAATGAAAATGTCCGTTTACTGAGATTTCAAATTAAAGGAAAATAATTGTTTTTAAATCACTTAAATCTACAGAGTGGTTAAGAAAAAAACATCGTGCATATTCTAGTAGACCTAAGACTATTGATCTCGTCTATGTGACATTTATCTTTTCCGTCCAGGTAGACTAAAGCCCAACGTAAAATGATCCACTTACGTGTATGACGGACCTCGCGTCGTTTTCGTTTCCTCCTGGTGGCGATAGTTGGTCCATGCTCATTCCCTCGCGATGCCGTGCTGTCGAAACGGGAAAGGATCAAAGGCAAAACAAGAAATGTATTAGAAATCCACGCCGTGGACCACCCGACGAAATCGAACGAGTCGCTACGTGTAACACAGCTACAGTGCACGTATGTCAAACTGTCATCACAAATGGCACAAAGCTATTGCACGGTTCGAATCGTTCGGCAACCGATAGCGCACTAATATCGCGACGTGTATTTATTATAATGAATATAATGATAATAATAATAATAATAATTATTTGTGTTGTTATTATTACACCGCAGACGATAGTGCTCTCTTCGGGAAGCGACGGGACGCAAATATAGTAACGTTTGGAAAAAAAAAAGAGAAAAAAAAAGGCGTTTTAATTACACGGATCTACACTTGTTTAAATAATCGACAAAAAAAAAAAAAAAAAAAAATTAAAAAAATAAAAACCCACATCAAACCAGACTACGTGTACACCTATTTTACATACACGTGCACGCGTTTAACACATAGTTCTATACACTTCACAGCCCCTTCCATTAAGTTACAGCTCACCGCCCTCCCGTGCGCCGCCGACGAACGTGCAAACGGTCCTTTACCTCCTCTCTCCGCCCTCCACTGCGACCCTTCCGCCGTTGAACGGCGGCGTGCGCGACAACTGTACCAACACGTGTCACCTTATTGTCACCTAAGTGTTCCGTATTGTTTGGCGTGTCCCGAGGTGCCGTGGACGCGAACAACTAACGCCGACATAATACAATTAAACGGCCACGGTGCGTACCCATCCGACCGTTGGTTTTTTTTTTTTGTTTTGTTTTTCTCTTTCTTTCTTTTCCACCGTTTTTCGTTTTTTTCTCCGCACCGGTTACCCGGTGTACCCGTGTGCCTACGTACCGTGACCGCGCGGTGGTCCCGTCGTCTGGTCCGCGTGCGCCGGAGAGCCGCGAACGCGACGCGTTAGAAAAACAATCGGAACGCGCACGCGCTCCGAGAAGTCCCTGAGTGCGCGTACCGGATTCGCCGCGTTGTTCCGACCGCGACCGGAAAGTCGTCGGAATGCTTACGCAGTTCGGTGTAAACGTGTACCATTTCACGTTTACCGCGGTCACCGTTAAACCCGTGCCGAACACGCGGACGTCGAACGCGCACCGGTACGCCGTGGAAAAAATTTAATAACAACTGAATTGGAAAAAAAAAGCCCCCCTATCGAAAGTAGCGTTACGATTACAAACTTAGAATCCAATTACAGTTTTCAAATCTTTCGTCCGTACTGTACAAAATAAAACGTTGTTCTTAACGGATAACGAAACGTATCGCTCGCCGTGATAATAAATCACGCGCGAGTACCAGAAGTGCGCGCACATGTGTACACACAGATTTTACGCACATGACTCGCACTACGTAAGCAACAGACGAATAGTGTAACAACTGTACAGTTCGATGTCGATCTCAAGATTTATATATGTATATAAGTCATATATATTCATCGGTGCGAACTTGATTTATTAGCCATGCACGCCAACCGATTGCCATAGTAGTCGAAATTATCCGTAAATGATTACCTTTATTCTGTAGTACGACAAATATATGGTATATACACAAGTAGAGATGTTAAAATACGGTATTTTATTTATTTTTTCTATAATACCGTATTATGGCGTATAGAACCTTGCAGCACCTTAAATTATAAGGAATTTAACAAAGTTTATGACCCCATTGTAAAAAAAAAAAAAAACATATAATACAAGAATTATTCACTAGATTCACCCAATTAATATTTAGTCATGCTATTGATTTGCAATTACGATATAGGTAACATACGTATTTTATACTTAGATATACATATTTTTTAAATAGAAATAAAGATAAAACTATACTTAATACTTTTATAGTTATATACTGTCTCATTGTACCTATACATTCACAATATTTGAATATTATATTAGTACAATAAATTTATTTTAGTCATTTTTAACACCTGAATTCTAAATTAACACGATTACAATAATATTGTAATATAATATAATAATATAATAGTTTTTAATTTTCATAATAATACTGGATAATAATATTGAAGATTCATTCTATAAGTACAACTAAAATGTGAATAGTTGAGTTACTAAAAATAACGTTTTCATTTTTTTTTTTTATACTGTCTGTATAAAATAATTTATACCATATATAATATAGTTTTATACCACTGTATAATACAAACTCACATCACTATACACAAGTGTTATCTTTCATCAGTATCATATGCGTTACGTAAATAAAAATTTGTCTTTCGATTTTTAAATTTTTTTGTTTTTACGTTATTCTTAATAAGTTATTTTCCCAACGAATTCGTGATACGTTGTTTAAATGCTTACGATTTTAGTATTCGTATTTCTTTTTTATCGTATTGATAAATTCCCAATCACTTCAGACTGATAAACGAAGCAAATTACGGATATAATAACAAAGGATTTTAAACTCTAATTATGTTATTTTTTGAAAGCATTTCGAAAATATTTCCAAAATTACGTTTGTAGGTTACGGTTGACTAAGAATCGAGACATCTAATCAAAAAAATTATTTTTTCGCAAGTCAATATTTCTCTACAAACTTTTTAAATCAATCAAGTTATTGAAAAAATAAAAAAATTAAAAACTAAAATAAAAGCTACTAATCATTAGTTATTAATGTAATTTTTTGTTTATAATTAGCTATGGACCGAATATTCAGTAGTTATTCGGTATCCGGCCTATTCGGCCAATATTTTGAGATCAATTTATATTCAGCTATTCGGAGTACTTGATTAATACTCAATCGATTACAATTTTACTAATTGGTATTTTCTCTTCGGCAAATTTAATCCGTCATTAGTGACTTCGGTCTTTTCGACCGTCAATTTTCAATATTCTGAATAATATACATTTGATACAAATTTTTTCTCAAGTCGCGCCCAGACCAAGAAATATTTGTATAAATCTATACAAATCATTTTTTCTACAAACATTTTTTTTTTTTGACTTCAATACTTTTTCTCCTATCTATATAGAATAGTTTATTTGTGTTTTGTTCTAATTTTATATCGTGTACACGGAATAACACTGTTTATTATAAAATACATAAATATGTACATATTGTTGTTCGTCTTTAATCTTTATAGATTATACTTAATTTAATCTATTTAGTTTATTTAATAAATAATAAAATGAAAATCTTAATTTATTAACTATTAAGTGTATTTTAATATATTTTATCATTTTATCAATATTCATATTGTTTTTAACAATCTATTCATGATATACTTTGTCACGATCTTTCCTATCAATATTATGTTAAATATTCTACGAAATATTTTAAATATTCTATCGATTAACACCAATTATTCTGCACTGAATAATACCAAATATTCTGCATAGGATAATACCGAATATTTGGCCACGGATCTCGAACAATATTAATTTATAAAATATTTAGTATTTTCAGGTGTTGAAAACAAAGTATTTGGTTAATCCAAATTAAGAAGTTCAGCACATCACTATAATCTTTATCCAAATGCATTCATGATATCAAATTGCCTATACGAAGCTCCGTCTTTTTTAGAAATTTTAGTATGCGTCAATGATAAGTGAATACACGAATCACCAACTATAGTTAAAGACAAGCTTTATTGATTTGAATATTATTATTTTGAATTATACGTACGTAAATATATCCGTAATGGTAAGACAAATCGATGTTTTCAATCTTTAACAACAGTACACGGAAATTAAACTGAAATACATTTTATTTATGAATACAATTTTAGTGTTATTTTGGTTTTGATAATTGAATATTTTATTTTTATTTTTATCAAATGCTTATTAATATAGATTATAGATGGTATATTGAGAAATTTGAATTTTGTTACCTTTCGATTTATAAAAAGGAAAAAATGTACAATGTTTGTTGCAAGAAAAATTTAAAAAAATAAGTTAAATTTTAACTTTTTAATTAAAAAAAAAGTTGCTTTTCTTTATTTAAAACTAAACTAGTATTTTTAATAAATAAATCATTTATGACATTGTATCTTCAGCATTTTTTTAACCTATTAAATTTGAAAATTTTTTCATTGAAGTATTATTTAATTATTATTGTTTGTAATACATGGTGTAATTTTTAAAATTTTATTTTAAAGATATTAAATAAAATTTAAATGTTCGTGTTGAATTAACTTTTCTTCAAAAATGTTGATAAAATTATTTTGGTATGACAAAATGTTTGAAAATGTAATACAAATTTCCACTTACATGTATATTGCTGATTAATAAAAAGAAATTTAATATAATTTCAATAAAAATTTTATGAGCATTTAAAAATTAATTTTAATAAGACGATTTAAATCACGAAAATCTATTATATTTTTATACTTGGGTTTGGAAATTAGATACGAGATTTTTTATAAGATTTTCTTTATAACTAAAAAAATAATTTACTGGAAAGTTGCAAAAATATTTTATGAATTTATGGAACGAAATTTTGATGAAATCGGATATTTCAACAAATTTCCATTAAACGATGTTTGTCTTTCATTGAATCACTTTGGTTGAAAGTAATTTTGAATTCTAATAAAATTGTTAGGTGTAGTTTTTTAGTAGAAGAAGGGGACGGAAAACTGTACCATTATATTATATAATAACACTAATGAAAATGTTTACTAAAATATTTTTTATCTGTATTTTTATGAACACAATATTAAATGTATACAGTTCATATCATATTATTAGTGGTTTCGTTAGGTACTTAAAACCCTAATGTCATATTATTTTTTTCAACTACCTATTCGCATTATTAAGATAGGTCAAAGGACACAAGTTAACCACAAGCATGATTATTGAGCGTTTTCCAGATTTTTTTTACTTTCGGTTTTGCTTCATACGATAACTGGTCTCATCGGTGCGAAAGGAAAAAATAGAAGAAAAAAAAATTGTTCAAGGAACAGTATAATAAAGTTTTTATAGATAGTAGATAGTAGTATTGTATTATCAAAAAAAATTATGAAAGAAACTCCATGTGAGAAACTTTTTGTATTTCTCTTGTAATCTCAAAAGTAAATCGTATTTACCGACGCTATTTTATTCATGTATCTATATGAACAATTTTCATGAAACATTGTATTTAAATTTTACATATACGTATTACAGCATTATAAGTACAATACGAATCTGACGCGGTAGTAAATTAATATTTTTATACATATCATATAAAAACACACGTAAATAATATAATTTTGTAAGAATCATACATAATATATATTTATTATGTATATTATTTTTTATAATGTATATATGTATTTACATGTAACG